TTTGATTTGATCTACAAGGGATCAAAGGAACCAAATTTCAATCAAAATTTTTGATTCTTTTTTTAAATCAAACACCCTAAAAATTATTTTATCCTAATGATAATTTCATTATCATTGTCTATGTCATATCATTGTCATATCATGTCCATGTCCTATTCTTAATACTATACTTAAAGAAATCAGTTCATTCCTGTGAAACTCTGATTTACTTTTTGGGACATTCTTCAGTTAGGCCGGTTTTATTGTTTTTTTAAACGGTGATGGTGATCATCTCAGAAATTTTCCAAAAATCGTTATGGAGTTATTAAAAAGTCAAGATATTCGTTACACAATTCAATGTCAGTTTTTTTATAGTTCTAAATGATATTATTTTGAATAAATTCTTTAAAAACTATGTTGTTTAAATTGACTATATACTACTTGTGTGATTGATTCAATCATTAACACAAAGGAGCAAAATTAATTGTTTCGCAATAAAAACTATTTGTTTGTTTATTTATTGTTGTTTTTTGATTTTAATATCAATGCATGGTTTCTATTCGTAATACAAATTTTGTTTTATTCGAATTATTTTTTACTTGAATTATTTGTTTTGTTCATTTTGTTCGAATTATTCGAATAGAAGCCCAAAAGAGCTTTAGAAATATTTAACCAATAACTTAATTACAATATAAAAAAGCGCTGTTGGTTTATTAAATTAAGCCAATAATTAACTAAAAACAGGATTAATTTTAGAAGAATGAATATCTGGTAAATATTGGTGCTTTCAATATTTACTAATAGGCTTTTAGACTATATGATAAAAATACTAGAACATTATTAATTTATCAGTATGCCAATACCTTGATTATCTTTTTAAAGAATATTGGTCAGATATCTGATTGATACCTTATTACCCAATTTGTCATCATTCGACCAGTAAAAAGAGAACCAATGGATTATATATAAGCAAAGAAAGATTGGACCCTAAACTAGCACAAAAGAATTTTAAACCATAACAGCTTGATAGCTTGATTGACATAGTGGTGCAGTCTTGCTATTTTTTTTTATAATTAATTATATATCTTTAATAAAACAAACAAAACAAACATGACTTAGCTATTTAATCATTTCCTTGTATGTGAATTCCTCCATCCAAGAAATATTCACAATGGTCATGATTATTATTCAATACATTTGATATCATCATTGACATAACAAACAATTGCATCACCCAAGTGGTAATAACACCAAGGCCGTGGATAAATGAAACTTTTAATAATGCGTCTACCCAGATCTCTGGGGCTCAGAATAATAAACCTGATGCTGAATCACAGGTGTCAGATTTAATTAAAATTTTCCTGTCACAAACATGCAAGACGGTGCAACTAAGCACCATGGATTTTCTTCTCCACAGGTGGAACGGACTTAAACATATTGGAAGGCTTTGGACAAGACATTCCCTTATCTTTCCCTCATACTAGGCTTGGTTGTTACCATATGAGCATTGATCATTGATAACTGGTGCTTGTGTGATGCTTGCTTGTGTTATACCACTCTCACTAAAATAAAGTCAGTGTCTGTAACTGATTCAAAATTCTCCAACTCGGGAGATTGCAATCTGGGTTGCTGTTTTGGATTTTCCCTGGATTCAGAGTTTTGAGTCCTGGGTTGCTGTCCTGTTTGTGGCATGTCTGCTCACCAACAACCCTACCTCATTTTAAATAACAAGTTCAGTTGGTCAAATAAAGATTAAAGAGAACAGAAATATGGAAATGATCAATTTATACATAACATACCAAACAAAATCTGAACCATTTTATTTTACAGCTTTCTCTTTGATGCCAGCGATCATGATGACTCTCACAATAGGAGTGGGCAGAATCGAACTGCCATCTTTATACTTGAATACACACTCTCATTGAGTTACACTCCTTTAACCTAGAGTAGGAGGTTATATGGGCAAAAGCCTCATTTAAAAAACAACAAATTCAGTTGGTCAATTAAAAGTTAAACAGAAAATTTGGAATGATTAATTTATAACATATCATCTAAACCATTTTATTTTACAACCTTCTTCCTAACATTAGAGCCAAATGCAATTTCAGAGTCACCAACTCTGCTCTGGATTGTGACTCTTGTGCTTGAAACGAGTCGCAGATTCTCATAATATTCCTCCAGAGTTGCAGCATCTTGGTCACGAGCCATCCTTACCCTAGAGATATGATTGTTGCAGGCGACTTTTCAGCTAGCATGCCAGCGGCCTTCTCTGGTCTGGGTGCTGTGAGGGAAGATCAGTGAAAAACATCCTTGACGATTGATGCAGTCACGGTAAATTCTAGAGCTTTGCGTCCCCCCCCCAGATTTCAACATTATCATATCATCGGGAGAAAACGTGGTCAGATTAGCTTTTTGTACATGAGGAATACGTGAGAATAATTGTAAAGTGTTCAAGGTAGCATGAATGCTTCAATGTCTCAAAAATTTCCGATAATCAAACATCTCATATCGAAATGTCTCTTTTTCAACGGTGTGCTGACTTGATATCTTGTAATTATAATATTATAATTATATATTAATAATGATTACGAAAAGAAGAATATCAATCGTTTGTTGTCATGGTTTTCCAAGTATTACCAGAACTTCACTTATTAAATACTTTTTGAGGTTTGATTTTCCTAAAGAGTAACTCAATGTATTTACCTGGCTTAGTTGTCATTACTGTAAAGTCTGGTTTAGATCCTAGCAAACATGGTTCAAATTTTCTATTGGTAGTAGCTGAAGATTTTGACATAAGGTTGGCCCTGCAATAAATAACCCAAAATCAAAAAAGACAAAATATTTATAAATATTATAATTATACAAATCATAGAATATATACCACTCTATTTTAATTTTTCCATTTTCATGAAAAAATGGATCAATCACTGGAGTAATACACCTATGAACATGTGTATCCTCTATTTATTATTTCTTGTAAAGGTTGACTGTTGATTGTTAATTCTACACAATGTAGAATTTGTGTTTACTTATTGTATTCATATAGATATTTTTGAAACATACAAGTTATTACAAATTTCAACCATTATTTTTTCCATATTTTTTGACTTCAGACTGTTAAGAAAATCTTTTTAACTTGGTTTTACGTTTGATCTTGTTTTTTATATTGTACAACCATTTTCGTGAAACTATAAATTCATTTTTATAGATAAAATTACTAAAAAGAACAATTTATTGAACTATTTCCAACTATATAGTTCATCCAAAGAAAAACAATTAATATTAAAAATATTAATTAAACCCAAAACTTGATATTTACAAAATTGAAAATATGCTAATATATTTATATATATTACAAGAACAAATTTATGTTATTATATATAAATGATTAATTGATTGATTGATTTGAAATTGAATTCTAGGAAAAAAAAATATAAAACAAAAGAGAAATTGCAAATAATAATTGATTAGTTTGCAAATGATCTTAAACATTGTACAAATGTTTCTTAATCTAAACATAATATATATATATATAAAATTCTAAATAATAAAATATATGCAAAGAGAAATAATTAATCAATAAACACAACCCAATTCCTTGGAAAAGCTGTCCAAAAAGATGACTTGATATTGCCCTTGCCATTTACTCAAGAACTTCTCATCCAAGAAGTTTTGACTAAGTAGATTTTTCCAACTGATGATCTCAACCTTCCAACCCATTTCCAATGCTTTGGTGACACATCTGTGGAATCCACCTTGAAAATATTCTCCGTCATTGCCGTCTCCACTTGCAAGTACTAAAGTTCCAGGTGTATGATAAAGCAACGAATCGAATATTTTAAGTTGAAGAAGTTCATCAACGCATTGTTCCTTTTTACCACCTTTACCACCTTTATCGACACGTTTAAGTTCTGAAACATTATATCCAGAATTCTTTGCTTCGTCAAGATTTTGAATTAATGGCAAAGATGCTACCAATTCTCTACGAGCAACGTTCCTTCCACGTTCAATAATAGTGGTAAAAAGAGTTGGGTATGATAACATTTGTTTTTTATTTGTAAAAGGCATTTTCATTTTGTTCTTTGAATTTTGTTGATTTTGTTGATCCCCATCTTTTTTTTCTTTGCCTTTTCCTTTTTTTTCTTTCTTTTCCTTTTGTTTTTCTTTTCTTTTTTGTTGTTGTTCACAAACTTTCTGAAATCCAATATAAATATTTGAATTATCAACGAAAACATGGATTGGCTTATCAGAAATTTCCGTGGGCATTGGAATTTTAGAGCGAGATTTTTTTGTTTTTTTATCTATATTTTGATCCACATTAATCTTCAATGATGGTTCTTTAAGTATCTCATGATTTGATGAATCATCAACCAAAACTATTTTATTAAAATGGACTTTTTTCACTACGTCATTATTAACAATCTAAATATTATAAATGAAAGTATTTAGTATTAGTGTTAATATAATAATATAATGATGTTGATGTAACATAATAATGATAAATTACCTTTTGTTTTTGTGGCTGTTTTTGTGGTTGATTTTGTTGCAGCTTTTGTTGCTGTTCTTGTTGTTCTAAACGCTTCTGTTTTTGTCTCTGTCGTTTCATTGCTTTTTTAGTTTTTGTATTAGCCAAAAGATCTTTTAAATTGATATTAGAAGTGTTTTTTTTATTATTACCATCACTGCCACTATTAATATTGTTTACAACTTTCTTTTTTAAAATTTTTGTAGATGATTGTTGACGTTGTTGTTTTACAGCAGGTATTAATTTATGTTCATCAAAGTTACTACTTTCTTCTTCAGAAGAATAAGAGTTGTAGAGTAGTGAAGGTGGTTTCAATAGATCGTTGGTTAACTGTTGACTATGATTGTTACCGTCAGCGTCAACGATTTTCATAGAAGGAAACGAATTAGAAGTTGGGCTCCATTTTTCTTTTTCGGTGCTTAAATAACTCCATAAATTACCAAAATCGCCTAAATCACCTAAAGTCAAGCCATTTTTCGCTTCTATTTTTTCTTTATCACTCTTTAAATAGTCCCATGAAGGTGTTAAATCATCTGGGTTATGGAAGGACTGATGAGATGTTGTGTCGTACGAAGAAGTTGTTGCATATAAGGTTCTTAAATTATTAGAATGCGACATATTTTATTATTATAGTTTATTATTTGTTAGTTATATAACGTGTATTGTTGTATTTTTTTATCTTTATTTATCTTGTAATAATAATATAATTTTTTCAAAAAATTATATTTAAATATTTAATAATTGTTTAAAAAATAGAAGGGAGGATTGAATATTATTTTTTTTTTTTTCTGGGAAAAAGTTGTTCAACAACTTTCTATTTTGTATTTATGTGTTAAGAATAGCCGAAATTGTAACCCAAACTACAATCTAGAAAATTCTAATCGTTATTGTCATACACATGTGCTAGCTATATGGATTTTCTATATTTTTAATATCAACAAAAATATAATAAAAATCGATTTTATTATTTTTTTGTTAATATTAATATTTGTGTGGGAAATTCGATGAAGGAATGTTTGGAATTTTGAATTTTTTATATTTGGTTTTTTTGATTTATAACTTGGTAAAAACCATTTTGGATTTATATCATTTTTGTATGATTTATTTAAAAATAATTTCTTTCTTCGATGACGATGTCTTTATTCTTGTAACGTTTCAACTTTTCATTTAAAATTAAAAACAGAATGTCACTCAAACTTTGTCAATTCATCTCTTACATGGATGATAAGGATGAGATCACCAAAAAAATTATTTTTGGTTTTTCTTTGTTAATTCGGTTGGATAATGTGACCTCATAGTTAATATTAATATTAACACAATGTATTTTTTCCCTTGTACTTTATAAAATTGGTTGCAGTGAGAAATCCGTTCCAGCTCAAACGTGAATGATATTGATAATATAAATATAATAATGAATAAGACGTAAAAACAAGATGTATATTATTCCAAGAAAAATTTTATAAAAAAAAAAACAATAATATTAATTTATTTGTATTGTTTGTTTGTCCCCAAAGAATCAAATCTTGCATACTATATGTATATAACAAGTAAATTACTTGACTGATCAACAAAAAATAAAATTCGACGTATTTATATACTGTATTCCTTTTTGGGAGGAATTAGCATTCCCGCAAAAAATCTAAAAATATATTAGTATATAATAAAACGAAAGGGATGAGTGAGGCACAGCTGTACAAATTACATACTTCATAATGTGGCGCAGATATCTTATTTTAGAAGCTATAATAAATTTTCCCCAATTTTTATTATACCCAAAACTACGGTAAAATATTTATTAAGTTCATTTTTATTTCCACTATGATATTGTGTATTTATTATAGTGATGTTATTAAATATAAATTAAAATAAAAGAGAAATTTGTATACAATAAATATAACTAATAAAACGTTCATTTTTGTAAAACTTGCTTTGAGCTTCATAATACAAACTATTGAATAATTGATAAAACGTTCGTTAGTATATTTTGTAAGCTTCATAGATTTTGTCCTTAATCCTTAGTTTGATCAGCCTATACAAATTATTGAATAATTGATAAACAGACAGTTTGTACATTTTATTTATTATTTATTTATATATAAATAAATAATCATTAATGAACTTTAATCAATGTAGGGCCAGAAATATAAAACAATCACTAATAATAAAATACCTTTTAATTTTTGCGAATCCCATCATAAAATTCTTCCCCTGCCAAAAGTATCCAGATACTTTTGGCAGGTGTGTATATGAACCTTTCTAAAACTTATTAACCAATACCCCCATAAAGTAACGACCATATGAAAGCTTAAAGTATTCTACACCTTCTCATTCACTATCAATTCTTTTAAGCGATATCGAGAAATAATTTGAGTTTTGAAGTGAAAAAGTAATACCGTTTTTGAATAGCCGTGAATTCATCTTTCATTTTACTCTAACAACGAAGTTGAGTTCATGTGACACGAATTTCAAATTTTACACAGAATGTCACACGACTATTAATATGGCGCCGAACAGGTCAAAAGGTTAAGTAAATGTCACAATTAATTGAAACATTGTCACAATTAATTGAAGCAAATGTCACAATTAATGAAGCAAATGCTATAATTAAATAAAACAAATGTTACAATTATTTGAAACCAAATGTTATATAATCAATTGAAACACTGCACAATTATTTTAAGGTAAATTATCACAATTCGTGTTTTTTTATTGTTCATAAATTTTTTCCAAAAAAAAAAAAGCTAAAAGATTGATTTTTGGAGAATGCCTACACATAGACTATTCAATAATGCAAGGTAATGTATGTGTCAAAAACATGATTGAATTTAATGGATATTACTGGCAAAAATTAATTCTATTTTCTCATTTATCAATTCAAATCATGTTCTTCTTCAATTGACCTTTACTTTATAATATAGTAGTATACACATTAAAAAATTCATTTGACGAGAGTACATTGTTTATATAAAAATGAATAAAAGAAAATCGAACATCAAAAAAATATGTTATTTAAATATACCATAATTGCAACATTTTCTTCAATTAATTATAACATTTTGCGTCATAAATATCCATGCAAAATTGCATGAACGTTAGCATTTTTTTTATTACATTCTTCAGATTCAATAGTAGAAATTTCAATAACAATGTCTGTTATTTATTTTATCCTGACAATCCTTTCACTTACTTCGCTAATTATCATGAGCACGGTAAGGCATCAAGTGTTATTAATTTGATACTATTACTAGTTTTTACTCGTGATCATTTAATAATAATTTTTTAAGGTAAAATAAGCATCTAAACATTTTAGAGCATTGGATTATACAATTGTGGCATTTTATTCATTTATAGCATTGATTCCACTTAGTGTTCTTGTTGCAAAAAAAGATGATTTCACCAATTCGTGTGAACTTAAACCTGATTATGATGTGGATTGTAGAACCCTGGTTAATTCATTCCATGATTGTTGGTTGCAGAACGTTCAGCAAGCAATTATCGAATTATTAAATTTTATTATTATTTTTATTATTTTCAGCTTTATTTTGCAGTGGTAGTTAAAACCTACATGTTAAAGAGATTCCGAAAAAGAGACAATGGAGGAAACCGAAAAAGAATCAAGTATGGAAACATCGAATAAATCAATGCTCAATGGAAAATTTTTAAGACGCATGCGAATATACTTTATTATTCTATTATATATTTCATTTTAAAGATATTATTGTTGTTCAATTAGGCAATTTATTTAAAGTGTTAAATTAATAAATTATTCGTTGATTTGACATGTAGTTTAGCTTTTGGGAAAGGAATTCTCACGCTCATTATATCTTCTTTTGGCGATATTCAGCTTTTAAACTAACGGCAAAAATTATCATCATTAGGTTACTGAAGTTCTTTCTCAAAATGGGTTCTTAAAAAATTCATTTTCGCATAGTCTCAGTATTATTTGTTACTGGGGTGATGCAATTTATCTATTTTTTAAAAATATTAAATGACCTGAAAAACTACCAGAGTAATTGCATGGAAAATGTGGGTATTACCCATTTTTTTGGTCACACACTCTCCTCGATTATATTCCCATCAGCTCGTCGCATTTAATTTTTTCAATTGAAGTCATCAGTGAGAATTTTGCTTTTCTTTTTCAAGATTTTTATTATTAACAAAGTATATAAGCAATATTATTCTTTGAAATTTAAAATTAAAAAATATTCAGAATTAATCGTTTATATATATATATATATATATATATGTTCAGTTTGTCTGGTTTATATATTTCCATCACAAAGCCACTTAAGTCATCAGATTGAGATTTGTTATTAGTTGATTGAATTGATAATAACGTTTCCATGAATCTGACTTATTTTCAATACCTTTTCACGCTAAAAAAGAAAAAAAGAAAATTAAGCTTAATATAGCCAATGCTCGTTACTGCAATGAAAAATAGCAATTAATATTAAATGTATATATATTCCATATTGTTTATAATTGGTTCTCTTTAGTTAACGTTAAATTGGCATTGATAAAAGGTCATTTAAGCGACATAAGAAGTTGATCGTTTTTAAGTTGACAAAATCGGATATAATCAGCTTAATTAATTGATGGATGGAACAAAGAACAAAGAGCCAATAATTTATTCAATGGCGGTGGTGACACAATCGAATTTTTGATAAATGGTTTTCACGAGTAAGTCTGTATGAATAAGATTGGCTTTCATTTTAATTTTTTTAAAACAATCAATCGTTATCATTATTATTTTAATCATGGATATTGAATCACTTTTTGGAGTTAACGGTAAAAAAGTATTGATAACTGGTGGCTCAAGAGGGTAACTTATATTTATTATGTATAATTTTTGTAATTGTTAGTATTTTCCTAATGTTTTTTAAACTTTTCTTAGAATTGGTCTGATGATAGCCAAAGGATTTGTATCTAATGGAGCTAAAGTTTATATTTCTTCGAGATCTTCAAATGCTTGTGATCAAGTGGCAAAAGAGTTAACTGCTCAAGGTATATATATATATAATAATATATATATTGATAAACGGTCGAGAATTATTGTCCAAACACAAACATAAAGTTAAAATTAAAACAAATTATACAAACGAAAATGTTATTATCAGGCCCAGGTGAAGCAATTAGTTTACCAGCAGATTTACAAAAATTGAGTGAAGTTAAAAGATTGGTTTCAGAAATTGAGAAAAGAGAAGATGGAAGTAAGTGTTGTAAATTAGGAATTGAAAAAAAACATTGTGATTTATAATATTATATATCTTATTGATTGATATTAAAAATTTATTTTCTTTAAACTAATTATGATTATTATTATTATATGCCATGCAGAATTGGATGTATTAGTTAATAATGCAGGAGCAAATTGGGGTGAAAAATTTGATAAATATCCTGATGAAGCCTTTGAAGTAAATGTTTAATATAATATTTAATGTTATTATTAAAGGTTATATTATTTTCTTAATGTTGTTTCTCCCTCTCTCTTCTAAACATTAGAAAGTAATGAATTTGAACCTTAAAAAAGTCTTTAGTTTAACTCAAGCGTAATTACTTTTTGAATATATTATTCATATATAATATAATATAATATAATATTTATTTTTATATTTTTTTATATAATTGAAATAGTGCCATGCCATTATTAGAAAAGGCTGCTACACCAGAAGATCCTGCAAGAGTAATTAACATAAGTTCCGTTAGTGGTAATAACATCTAAAACATATACATATCTTATAACCTGTATGAAATAACAAAATATTAATTTATTTATTTATAAATTATTAAAGGCATCCAAGTTCCATATTCAGAAACATATGCCTATGATGCATCCAAAGCGGCACTAAACCATTTGACCAAAGTCATGGCCGGACATTTATCACAACGTAATGTGACATTTAATGGTGTGCTGCCAGGTCCATTCGAGACGAAGATGATGAAAAAAACTTTAGAGGATTATGGGAAATCAATAGTTGCAGGTATACCATTGGGCAGAATTGGTAGACCGGAAGATCTTGCTGGTACTTGTATCTATTTGGCGAGTAAAGCTGGCGCATTTACTAATGGTGCATTGATAACTGTCGATGGTGGTGATACTTGTAAACCTAAATTGTAACAATTAATAAATAGGAGGAGGCAGATGAAGTGTGTTAGGAAGAGGGGAAGAAGAGATAATAGAAGGAAGGAATAACAGAAAGGAATAATAAGGAATGATAGGAAGAGGAGAGCAAGCATAATTATAGTAATTGCAATTATAATAATCATAATGCTATTTAATCTTTATTTTATAATTGTTTTTCTTCTATTTAAAATATAATAATGTTCCATCAAGTTCCTCTTATCTAACTATATATATTTCTATAAACAACAAAAAATTGTTTTCTATAATAGTAATAATAGTAATAAATATATTTAATTATATGATTAATCAAAAGTCCATACAACGTCATCAGAAACACCTTTTAATAAACTAAGAACATCAGTGACATGTGAGTAATAATCTTCAAATCCTGGTATAAGAGCAAAGGAAAATAACCAAACAGTGCATGATAATGCCATTATGTGTACAGCTACACGTGCAATATCAAAGTCCAAAATATAAAGAATTGTGTGTATAATTCTTAATATTGTGTATATAATTGAAAAGCTATCGTTATAATTATGATTAAGATTAGTGATGAATTATTATAATAATGATGATGACAAATAAATTTATTGATTAAATATGAATTGTCACCTTATTCTATATTTTAAGTGAACTTTATTTGCATGAGAAATAATTATTGCTGTAAAAAATGCTAAAATCATAAAAATTATTATAATTGTATTAGATGTTATAATTAGATGTTTATAATATCATCTCAATTAAATACCAGGAACATTTTCTAAAGCAACTTGGTGCGAAGCAATCATTCTACCAAATGTTCCTTTTATCGCATTTCTATAAATTCTTGGCTCCTTTATTAATGATGAAAAAATAAAAATCATTTCAATCAATCAATCAATCATTACACACATCATTATCATCCTTAACAACAACAACTACAGCACCACAATCACCAATCCCAATAATATATAATACTAACATTGTTAACATAACCATGCTTTGAGCCCAACGCTTGAGCCCAGACACTCAAAGAAGCTGTTATAACATATGCCCATATAAACATTGTACCAGCCATCAAAAAAGGAATATCTTTTTTTGCAAAGTTGAATAATTGTAATAATTGTACAAGAAAATTTTCAATTTCGAATTGTTGTAAAGTAGCTGTCGCTAGGAAACATATGGGCGAAAAAGCCGATATAGAAACAATAACTGCTTTTGGTGAAATTTTAGTCATGATTACAAGCAATAATAAAAATTTTAATGATTTATTTACAATTTAATATTTAATTATTAATTTGCATATTGTGTTTCCATTATCAATAAAAATAAAAATGGTAATTACATCCGGAAAAGCATGCTTGCTTTTCTCAGTAGACCTGCCTTAAAATACAACATAAGAAATTAAATGATCTTTATTATTATTCTTTCCAATCCGTCCAATTACATTCTGTTAAGCTTTAGATCAAGATTTTATGGGGGTCAAGATGTTAGGCACTTTATTTTTATTCACTCAATTCTGTTGGAGCGTCCACTAAATTCCGATTTCATTAATTCTCTTTATGCAGTATATATATTGCATTGAAATTGTTTAATGTATATTTATTTACTTATCTTTTCTGTAAATAAGATAGAAATATATAGTAAATTTACAACGAGAACAATTTTGTTAATTAAATTTTAGAATGTCTGATCTCAATGTGAAAAAGCAAAATTTCCTATTTATTTTGTAAAGAAGGATCTATTTTGTAAAATAAAAATATAATTTGATGCTCTCCTTACAAGGTAGAGGAGAAAGGCAATGTTATGTGAGGAGCACCCCTTCCATAAGACGTCATCTCTTCATCACTCACCAACACTGAATAGATACTCTATAGGGATTTAGTAAGCAACTTGTACCACTTAAAAGTTTAGATTTTATTTTTCATACAAAGAATTTAACTGAAATTATGATTGATATTATATCCTGAATACAGCGTTTCTAATAAGAGATATTTGAACTAATATAACAAATTATCCAAAAGTGATAATATTAAGATGAGAAAATTAAATAAATATTCCCAGATGCTTGATAAAACCTACATGGTTATTTTCCTGCCGACCATTATACTGGCCTGCCAAAGCTCTAAAATAATTAGTATGTAACATGCTGAAACTCTGTCAATTGATTCCTGGAGGGGGTTTCAACTAAGGTTTCTGGTCCAAACTGTTTTCTCAAAGCCCAAACTAGTTTGGGCAATTTGGACTTCTCGGCATTTTTTATAAACATGAACATTAAAAAACTATACCAATCAACTTATTTTAACTTAAACAACTTTAAAGTAATGTTGCCCAATTTCGGCTATTAACAAAAAATAGTTTGGGCTTATAAAAAAGTAATTTTTGCCTAAAGTATTTTGGCAATTTCGGCTACTAATAAAGAGAATTTCAGCCAGAAACCTTAGTTTCAACAGGCAACAATGTCTCCGTGATATAAATAACAAATTTTTTAACATTGAAACAATGATGAAAAGAAGAAATTCAGGTATGTCTCTTGTATATATTGATGGGCACTGCTATTAAAATGGCATAATATAAATGAAAAAATGGCTAAATTGTATAGGTTGAAGCATCATATATTGTAAATTGTGCAAACTGTTGAATCAAGCAAAAAAGGTAAAATCAAATGTAATGTTTCAAGATGTCTTAATGTTTTGATTAGCTACTTGGAGTACTTATGTTTTTCATCTCATCTCCCACTCCTCAATGAGATCCAATGCAAAAGTGATTTTGAGAGTCAAGAACAGCAAGAGCTCTATGACATACAATCTTTGCTGTTAGTCAATAATGTTCATTGAATGGGTAAGAATGGTTTGATGTTATCATAGTAAATAATCATAGTTGAATCCCAATTCCAATCTTCACATTATTCACAAAATTAAGGCATATGAATATCTTATATTTGTACAATTTGAAAACAGAAAATTTTGGGTGTCTAATTGATGGTATGAATATGGGAAAACTCTTACCACACCTACCTCGGTTACACGTCAAGTTTTTTTTTAAGATAAGATTTCTTTATTTTCTACCAATCAATGTAAGAATTAACATACTCAATGTAAGAAGTAAACATACTTGATGCAAGAAAGAAACATACTCAATGTACATAGTAAACATACTCGATGCAAGAAAGAAACATACTCAATGTACATAGTAAACATACTCAATGTAAGAAAGGAACATACTCAATGTATGGAATAAACATACTCAATGTAAGAAAGAAACATACTCAATCTAAGAAAGAAACGTACTCAATGTAAGAAGTAAATGTATTTAATGCAAGGAGTAAATGTACTTGATATAAGGAGTAAATGTACTTATTACAAGTGTATTTTGATATAATGTATAAAATTTATTTTTTTAATTCAAATGTTTTTATTACAATTTCTTTTTGGTCTGGTATTTTTATTTTCTTTCTTTGCTGGTGATTTTTTGGATTTTTTGCTTGGTGGAGATTTATCTTTAGGCTTTCTTTTATTGGATCCTAAATAAGGTTTCCGGTCCAAACTGTTTTCTCAAAGCCCAAACTAGTTTGGGCAATTTGGGCTTCTCAGCATTTTTTATAAGCATGAACATTAAAAAACTATATCAATCAACTTATTTTAACTTAAACAACTTTAAAGTAATTTTGCCCAATTTCGGCTAATAACAAAAAATAGTTTGGGCTTATAAAAAAGTAATTTTTGCCTAAAGTATTTTGGCAATTTCGGCTACTAATAAAGAGAATTTCAGCCAGAAACCTTAGTTTCAACAGGCAACAATGTCTCCGTGATATAAATAACAAATTTTTTAACATTGAAACAATGATGAAAAGAAGAAATTCAGGTATGTCTCTTGTATATATTGATGGGCACTGCTATTAAAATGGCATAATATAAATGAAAAAATGGCTAAATTGTATAGGTTGAAGCATCATATATTGTAAATTGTGCAAACTGTTGAATCAAGCAAAAAAGGTAAAATCAAATGTAATGTTTCAAGATGTCTTAATGTTTTGATTAGCTACTTGGAGTACTTATGTTTTTCATCTCATCTCCCACTCCTCAATGAGATCCAATGCAAAAGTGATTTTGAGAGTCAAGAACAGCAAGAGCTCTATGACATACAATCTTTGCTGTTAGTCAATAATGTTCATTGAATGGGTAAGAATGGTTTGATGTTATCATAGTAAATAATCATAGTTGAATCCCAATTCCAATCTTCACATTATTCACAAAATTAAGGCATATGAATATCTTATATTTGTACAATTTGAAAACAGAAAATTTTGGGTGTCTAATTGATGGTATGAATATGGGAAAACTCTTACCACACCTACCTCGGTTACACGTCAAGTTTTTTTTTAAGATAAGATTTCTTTATTTTCTACCAATCATGGGGGTTCTGGGTTGGGATTCGCGTAACCGAGGTAGGTGTGGTAAGAGTATTCTAAATATGGTAATACAAACAGATCAATTGGTCAAGTGCCTGTACGTTTATAAATGAATTTTTTTGAAGGCGTGCTTATTATAAGCCATGATTTAACTCAATTTTATTATTTGCAGCTGTAGTAGTCTAGAAATACAAGCTGAGTTACCAAAGCTTATATAAATTATCAAATACTTGTAAAATATCTAAACTTTAACAATCTTAAGAAATGAATTTTAAAGCGATTTGATTTGAGTCAAACAAAAGTTTTAAATTTAAATATCATATAACTAGAATAAGGAAAATACCAGGAAAATAATCTTATTATTATGTAAACCTACATAGGGCTCAAAATTGACCGGCATCATGCGGAAGTGTTACCAGAATTATCAAAGTTTCGACATAATGCTGGTCAATTTGAACCTACGCGGGTTCACACAAGATTTATTTTCCTGTTGAACCTCATTTCAACCATTATGAAAAATTCATGTACTGAATACTGGAATAGATGTGGAATGAATACTTAAAGAGAAAACATATTTTTGATATGGAATGCATTAAAAAAAACACATACTAATATGGGAAAATGCACTTTCCCATACCTAAAAATATGGACTCAATCTAAGTTCAATGTATTTTAATTATATCTAACTCATTCTTGTAAAATGTGAATGGAAAATTTGACTAGTTGATAGTAACAGTTCTCTTAAACAATCGTTGTCGTTTGTATCAATTTCAATATGCAAAATTTTTAAGTTTGTACATCGAACTTTGAGCATTTAGAAGATTTATAACAAAATATTACATTAGAAAGATATATATTTTGATACATTATTGACAGAGATTCATTCATTAATTACTTTTCAAGAGGACCTATACTATTCTCACAATTGATTATGTGAAGTTTATAATTGTCATAAAAAGACGAAAGAGATGGGTGGTGGTTATTTATTATTCTGAATTCAGGACTTCTACTCGAATTACATTGGAATGATTATTCGAATAAAACGAATAAAACAAAACAAATGATTTGAATAGTTTCCGTTGGATGTTGGAATCGTCCAAAAAATCCTTAGTCGATTACTAGGTGTCAAAATTTCTTTAGTCGACTAAAAAAATTTTTTTTTTAATTTGCAAATTATGAATTTATTTCCATTTGAATCTTTCAATTTTTCAAAATACTTCCACACAAAACCATGTGTTACGATTCGTTTTTTAAAGGTATTCTGGAACCACCGCTTAAATCATTGGAACTTGAAGTCAATGAACTATTGGACCTTGTATTGGAAATGTTTATTCGTTCACATGTAAAATTATCATCAACAACACCACACTATTGTCGTCATCATCATATTGATGGCATTGATATTCTTCCGCATATAAATTTTCCATTTTGAATGATAAACCACAAAAATCGTTATAATAATATTAGCATAATATCAGTTAGTATTAATAGTATTACTGTATTTGTAGTCGACTATTAGTTGTTCAAAAAAAAGTTAATTTGATACTATTACTATTTTAGTCGATTCCAACCTCTAGTTTCCGTAATTGGAGGTTTTTCCTTGTAGCGATAATAATAGAAATAATTGGGGTTTTTTTAGTAGCGATAAAAATAACTTTGTGTGAAAC